ACTTTTTTTTACTAGCCTTGTCTTTTTCATCTCCAATTTTATTGTTTCCTTTTTTTTTTTAACGATGTTTTAGAGAGATTTTTGCTTCTCGATATAACTTTTGTTTTGATTATTTTTCTATATTTTGAAGAATTGTGATTTATATATCATTTGCATAATTTAGAATTTGTAAATAAGCATGTTGAACGCTGAGGCCAGTGCATTTGCATACAAAAATCACACTCGCAAAGTTAATACTTCCAAGAAGGTAGGTAGAGCAGTCTCCGCCCGCATGGGTACTTTTCCCTATGAAAAACAAAAACAAAAGGATATTATTAATTCTCCGACAAGAAGGACACACTCTCTTTCAGTATTATCAGCTTCACGAGTTACTCCCATTGGCGATCAAAATGAAATTTTTTTTGATAAAAATACGTCTTCACGGCAAAGCTCTACAGAACATTTTCTTGTAGAAAACTTAAAACGACAAATAGCGTGTTTGGAAGCTCAGGTTTCATCCTTGAAACGTCAAAAGCAATATCCGGACTCACATCTTCTTTACCCGTTCACCACAACTCCCAAGAAAGCAAAGTTCACTAAGGATAGCAAGAGTTTAGGTAATGACCTTCCACCCTGCCATGCTGAACCGCTGTTTCAGGAATCTCACCCTTTTTATAATGCTTCAGAGCGGGACAAAACTGAGTGGTTCACATTTCAGTTCAACCTTCGCCGTGTCATGGCAGATTGGGAAGCACTTCATCAGATGCTTGTTATCTTGAAATACGAGAAAGGGGTTCTGTCAAATGATATTATAGACCTGCATATGGCCCTACGCAAGTCTGAGAACGAAAAGCTGTGCATTGAGAAGAAGCTTGAGGCTCTTATGGAAGCCTCACGTTCGAATGAAAAACAGCGCTTCATAAACGATCTAATGGATCTAAAAGATTCCACTTTTACCTCTGTATCTCCGACGAGCGCCTTGGCAAGTGTTACTCATCAGAGGGACTATTACAAAATCATGTTTGAGCGTATGAAAAGCAGTGAAGAGTTATTGTATGCACATGCATGTGCGCTGGAGGAGATTGTTGAAACAGATTGTATCGCCCAGGCTACTGTTCAGGCACAACTGGCCGATGCGTTGGGCCAGATTGAGGAGTTACGCTCTCGTGATGCACAATGGCACCGTTTTATTGCAGAACTAGGGCGTAATTACATCAATGTTTCAGCGGTTTTACAGAGTGTTATGGGTGGTAGCGTTGATATACGTGAAAAGATCTCGGAAAAACTTCTAGGGATCAAAGAGTTGGAAAAAGCAATGGAAAAACTTCACATATTTGAGTCAGAATTGCATACTGTCATCGTAAATCAAAATATTAACTCCCTGATAAAATCAACGGATAAGCCCATCAATGCTAAATTATCTATTGCTGAAGCTTGCACTGCTCCAATCCTACTACCACCACTACCGGCTGAAATCCCACCACCACCACCACAGGCTGAAGTTCCATCATCACCACCACAGGCTGAAGTCCCACCATCACCACCACAGGCTGAAGTCCCATCATCACCACCACAGGCTGAAGTTCCATCATCACCACCACAGGCTGAAGTTCCATCATCACCACAGGCTGAAATCCCACCACCACCACCACAGGCTGAAGTTCCATCATCACCACCACAGGCTGAAGTTCCATCACCACCACAGGCTGAAGTCCCACCATCATCACCACAGGCTGAAGTCCCACCATCACCACCACAGGCTGAAGTCCCACCATCACCACCACAGGCTGAAGTCCCACCACCACCACCACAGGCTGTAGTCCCATCAATGTTAGTAACAACAACTTCGCTAACACTTCTAGCGACAACGAAACTAAACAGTTTAGAAAAAAAAATCAAGTTAGAAGAAGCATCACTTTCATTGTTTTTGAAATCCAAAGGTCTTGCATTATCTAAGTAGAATAACTTAGATATATTTTATGAGGGTGAATTTCTATAACCTAACACAGGATGGTATACAGCTTTCTATATATGGGTAACATTTTAACGTATACGACCATTTATTTAAATGCTTGTTTTAATCTTATTTTACCATTTTTTTAAACTATTTTTTTGGGTTTAAAACTTACAGGTTATATGTACGCATCTATGATTTTTTTGATTATTCTTTCTTACAATCCTAAATGACTCCTTATAACTTCCCTGCACGTGATATAATTAACACATGGTTCTTAAATCTTAATACTGTTTCTATCTTATTAGATTCCTTGTTTTTTCTTCTTGTGGTTCAAGGAAATCAAGTCTATTACCAAAGCTGTATCTATTCAGTTTTATACTTTATAGTCTCCAAGCGAACGAAGGGTGAAAGCGTAATATTGGAAACTACTTATCAATTTTTGCATGTCAAATCTAAATGCAAATGGTGAACGCAGTTCCACCGTATTCTTGAACTGTTTTGTTGTCCCTTTAAATACGTCTTCAAATGCTAATGCTGAAATGGAGTGGGACACCCAGAGGTATCCAACCACACGCACAGCGATGGACAACACATGTTGCATGTTCATTTGTAGGATATATAACTTCCTATGTCTGTTGTGGTCACGTACCATTATGTACTGTTCTCGATGGTTTAGTCGTTTACAAACAGGGGAACAAGGACAGGCGCTGCTGGGGGATACCATGGATCTGACTGACCCCAGCTGTGAGCCGGACGAGCTTGGAATGGCTTCTCGAAATACGAGGATTTTCGTCGCGAAACTGTGGGATAATAAACCTAAACAAATACAAGTTGAAGAAGCATTCCATAAACGTGGTTACGCTCCACCGCGATCCTGTTCTGGTGAAAATTCCCGTAGGCGTATAAAAACCCCAAACGTATCGCAGCGTCGTGCAGCCTCAGGAGAGGCTGAGAACGAGAGCTTTAGAGTGCATTCGGATGACGAAAGCTCTGTTAGCTCACCTTTACACAGCGGCGTAGTTTATAAAGAGCATTGGATAATGCAGCATGGTGTTCTCATGAATGCCGGGCTAGATCGACCCCTCAGCGAGGACACCGACTCCATGATGCGGCGCTTGGTGAGCGTTGATGGTACGTATGCGCACCAAGGTCATGGCGAACACCAGATAATGAGGCAAGGCGTTTATGAGGAGGGCGGCGAAACGAGCTCCATTACTCGAGTACAGCCTCTGATCGACGACGTGGCGATGGTTCTGGATGAGATTGAGGCTCATCGTCATCCTATTCATACTCCTGAGCAGTTAATCGTATTTCTAGAACGTTGTGCGGACTTTCTACCAGTACGTATAGAAGTGGAGCGTGAAGGCACTGCACTCCCGCAGGATTCTACCAGGAGCATGGAAAAGGATACATCTTCCACGTTGGAGTACAGGTTGCATTTCCTAGGACCTTTACGGCCTAATCCATACACAGCCGTCCTAAGTATCTTTGAGGATGTCATCATGGACGACTGCGATAGCAATGCTTTACGTCTCGTCAGCATTCACTGCTCAGATTTGTGTTTTTCTAGTCATATAAATCCTTCTGAAAAGGGGGTAGTAGGGATGGACTCATTTGACATCGTTGGCGACAAAATTTCATCACGCGATGAATGGCAGATCAAGTCTGACCTGAATGATGTAATGATATCCTATTGCCCACTTCAGAAGCAGCAGCAGTCTATTCACTCGTTGAACGTAGCCGATGGCAACTATGGAGGTTACCAATCAGCCAAATCCATGCAGCCGTTGTGTGATAGGTCCCTGTTAACACCAACCGCCACGCAGGATTCTCTACAGCTTTTGAAAGAATCCCACATGCGTTTGCTAGGGATCTTGAAGAATGTAATGGATAATATGGCCAACACCATCCATTCGGTCAGGTTCACACGCTGCGTGTTTGCCCCTATAGACATCGGACACTCGCTTCCTCTAACGCTCTCGCCTCTTGTAGAGCTACTTTTTGAACAGTGCCCGCTCTCCCCGGCCCACATTGATGCGCTACTGCAGTTGGCTCGATCGGAAACGCGACGACACGTCGCATCGACATTTTCAGGTTCACATCCGCCACCAGCTTTTTCACGACTTACAGAGCTACAACTTAGCGGCTCACTGACGGATGAATGCATCTCGGAGCTTTTGAGTTATTTCTGGGATGAAGTGGTGGATGAAAAGGGTACTGCGTTAAGGGTTCTCAGATTGCCTAGTTTACTACTTCGATCTGCAAAAGGTCACCCTTTCATCCAGGCTCATCCCTATGTGCGAGTATTTCCACTGGCTTGACGTATTACAATTTCCTCATCGTATTTTTTTGCAAGATTTTTTTAATTATGTTATCCTCCCTTTCCTCTCCCCTCTTCCCTTTTCACTCTGTCGTGTATTATTTTATTAAGGTTTTTTTTTCTTCATAGTCTCAAAGACTGAAGATCTATTTTTTGCATCATAGAAACCTATGATTGAGAAAAATATACTGACAGTTTACTTTTGAGGGTCATACAGGTAAGCATGAAGTCTGGAGATGCATTTTCACTACTTCTAAAACATATAACGAAAAACATTTTAAAGGAAATTATGCTGGTGTGATTTCCGCATGGCATATTTTCTTATTAGTCCATCTATGTTACTTTTCCTTTTTTAAATGCTGTTCTTATTCGATTCTTAAGTTTATTATTGTTGTTATTATTATCATTTAACGAAATTCATCTTTGCTGTTGTATTCTGTATCATTGACATATCCCTTCCTTATAGGCTTATGTATTCATGTGATCTTTCTCACTCCTTGTTCAGCGTGTCCACATACTCTCAACTGCTTAGGAGTGATTGATACATATTCACATAAAAAGAAAGGAAGAGTTAAATTTCGAAAAATGCTTGCCAGTCTAGGTATTGAAGGCGATGAACGTGAGGGACCGAAGCATCGCCAAGGCCGCCGCCATATCTCTCACGATGAAGGTCATATCAGTGAGCTCTTTTCCCATCCCGAGACGCAAAAAAGCACCTCTGCGGCTGAACTCGAAGGGAAGCCACATGATTCTACATCCAATGCTGTTTTAACGGAGGTATCTGCCATACAGGGCAGGCATAAGCCGAAGGATAATCTCAATCTGTTTTCATGCGACGAACCCAACGAGGCCCCTAAATTTCGTCCTGGAAAGGGTCGTGTTAACGCCACTGAAGGGGTATTTCGACAAGGAATGCATGAACGAGGTCCTCTCCTCAGAGAAACCGACGAGCAGATTCGCAACAAAGAATCACAAAAGTTTTCAATGTGCCCAAATTCTCACTTCCTTGGCTTTGAAAAAGAAAACGCTTCCTCACAAAAGAAACTTTCAGCTGATAAAAAAGTGCCCCCAACCGAGTTGGGTTATGGTATGGCCGATAACCTGAACAATAAGCCTGGACTCGCACGCGTGCGGTGTGGAAAGAAGATATTACCACAGCCCGTCGGTTCCCTTGAATCGAAGTCAGCTGAAGAGGTGGACGGTTTCCCTGGACTGAGTCCTCAACGTTCAACGAAGACTGGTCGTCGTGTTTTTGGTTGAGTCGCCTGTTAATCCTTTGACTATTTTATGTATTATGTATAGTGGTTCTAGAACTGTTTGGGGAAAATAAAAGCAAATGTTTGTATAAAGATAGAAATGTTGTAATTTTTCCTAACGAATGTTACACTACACATTATAGTCGCCGAGAAAAAAGCTCATAAGATAGTTAGGGTAAATTATTGCCGCGCTTACTGAGGACTTGCTTAATATATATATATAAAATTAACATATGGTATTTTTATTCCTTCCCAGTCAATTGTACATACACAGTAGTAGTTTGCAAGAAAAAAATGTTGTTGCTTCTCTCATTAGAACGGGAGACTGAAGAACAAATAGAAGTGCATCGAGTAGCGCAACAGCTGAATTAATGTTTTTTGTTTCTTTTTTCTCTCAGTATTTTATTTTATGCTCGAATTGTTTAAAACTTTATACCATATCGTTTCCTTCTCTAAAATGAATTTAACGTCATTTACAAACAAAAATATTCAATAGAGAATAGGCACTAAAGTGGCAAATAAATATACTTTGAGCTAGCAAGAATAAGAACCGTTTATATTAGGATTTTTTTCATGTCAAAATAATTGTCCTATTATTTAATACTCATTATCAGTTTCCTCTTCGTATTAGGTGTATGACTTTTTCTATTTCAGTGTTTTGAAGGGAACAATAGTAGTTTTTTTAATTATGAGTAGAGCAATGCATGTGAATTTTTGTAATGTTTTATTAACACTTTTCTCTATAAATTTCCCTTTTAATTCTTACTTCCAGCCCAATATTCATCAGAAAGAGGATAAAAGTATTTTCACAATATAGGTACAGTCGTTTAGGCACCTAAGTTTCTACCTACAATGATATTGAATACCCTTCTATAAAGATTGAAACTGGATCTATTTACTCTTCTAACCAAAGCGTTGTGAGGCCTTTTCTTTATTAACCTTGATATTTTCATAGAATCTCTATTAACCCTTAACAAAGACCACTGCAGTGCACCTTTCCTCTGTGTGCATGCGAACCTGCTTTACCTGTTTAAAATTACAATCTTGTGGTTCGTTCATTCGCACGGTGAGGCCTTCTTGGATCAATGGTAGTCCCGTTCTGCGACGTGTAAAAAAATACCCATTTTCGGTTTGCCATCCCGAAGTCTTTTGGTTATTTCATGGGAATGTTTATCCTTCCCATAACGCTTTGCGGGCCTCACGGCGTCTGAGGTGGGATGCCCCGGGGGGGGCATTACCGCATTCCTCCATAACCCCTTCCAACGTTCGGACGCCGAGGGTGGATGAGGGGGTCCATTCCCTCGACCCCGCGATTCATTCTCGGCCAGGAATGTTGAATGGGGGAGCCTCTTCCTCCCCGGCCTTGGGTGGATTTAATCATGAGGAATTTAATTCTGCGTGGGATCTCAAGCAGGCCCTTTTCGGACTTACCGATCGACATACCAGCGTCTTGACGTGTTTACCCCATCGCGAACGCATCGCGGCGCCACGCATGTCGCTCTTCCCTGAGTGGGCCAAAAAGGTGCTTTTTGTTGATAGCAAATGGGTGGAGGAGTTTGATAAGTTTCGGCAGGGAGAGGGAGGGGAGGGAAACGCGATTGGCAAATCTCCCTCGGCGGACTCAACACCCGCCGCGGTGCCGCTCACCTCGGGATTTATAAGTGAAGGAAATAATTTACCCCCCGCGAAGGCGATTTCCACCCCACAATTGCCCTCTCTCTCGGGTGAGGGGCCATCAAAGGACGAGAAGAACCTCACCGAGGCCGGTGGTAGAGGCATTTTGGGCTTCTCGACGTCCCCCGCCTCGTTTCCTCCGCTTTACGCGGATGTTTTAGGCCGCCCGAAGATTGTGCGGTGTTTGCTCTACAACTTCCTTGCCGACCCGACCTACTGGCGCGATGGCATGGATGAGCTCCTCCTTCTCGCGGCGGAAAAGGTGCGGACGCTCGGCGGGGAATCCGACGATGGCGGGGCGGGCTTTGAGGCGAATCGATGGGCCTCCGAGCACCTACTTCGACCCCTGGAGTCGGTTGTATTTTACTCGCCGTGGATGCGCGAGGTGCTTTGGCGGGTACTAGATCTCAATTCCAAGTCGTTTGTGGGGCCAATTTCTGTGTGGTATGCCTTTGTGATGGCGCACCGGCAGGATGCCGCGCTTTTGCGCTCGCCGCACCAGCCGCCCTTCAGCTTTTCAGAGGTAAAGCCCATGTTAACGCCTCACGACTTGGATTACTGCCGGTTCGATCTTTTTCAGACCGATTCGACGCTGCCCTCCAGGGAGTTCAAGGAGGAAGCAAAGCCGCAAGAGCTCCCACGCGGCGGGCCTCTGGATGCGCTAACGGAGGCGGAATGGAAGGGGATGACCGAAACCCAACAAATCAAGTTGTTATTTGGCAAGGACGCAGTTTCTGAGCTCGCGGCCGCCACCATGACAATTCTGAAAGGTAATTTTCCCGAGGATGGGGATATTTTTATTTGTAATCCGCCTTCAACGGACCTGCGGATAGGTGGTGAAGGGGGTGCGGGTTCCAATTCCGATCCTTCCTCCGATTGCTCAATCCCGCCGCCAAGCATGGAGGCGGGGGGGGATCTCGCACCCCAAACGATGACAAGTGAAGCGATGCTTGAGCAGCGACGACAGGAGGCGCTGCGTTCGTATGGTTACGAGCTGGATCAGTTTTTGTTGGGGATTATTGAGTGCACACCCAACTTCGCCCTGACGAAATACGCTGCGGCGCTACCCCAAAATCCAGCGCCACGTTATGAAGAGCCGCAGCGGAAGGCCGCGGCGCTTCGCGCACGGAAAGGCTACACTCCACGCGATCAATACTACTCCAATGGCCTCTTTCGCAACGCAAAAAATGGCGAAGTGGAGGATGTTCACCTCATGGAGTTGTGGAACGCATTTCAAGACGCCGATATTAACACGCTTTTGGATCATTGGGTGCATGTTCGAAACCGGCTGCCTATCGTTCAGCGGGAGATTCGCGCGGAGATGGCAGCGCAAGCGGCGTTTATGCTCCTTTTTTTCTCCACCGACGAGGTACGCGCGGTGACGAACCCGAAGGATACCTATTATCGGCTATGGGGACAACACCGGGAGCTTGTGGAGTTATTAATGCCTGCTGGGGGAAAAGTCGCTTCGCGATTCGTATCCCATGCGGAGAAATCGTCACTCGGTGCTTCAACCACCGCCACGGAGGTGAAGGATGAATCTCCGTGGGTGCCGTTTCCATCATTTGAATCACTTCCTTTAAATGAAAAGGTCTCCTATGCATGTTTTGGCTGCGACCATCTCCCAACTACAATCAACAACAACAATTCACCACAGGGCGACCTCATACAATGCCCCAAAGACGCGATCGAAAAGCCAGATCCTTTTACGTTGTTTAGTGCCTATTGCACCGTCATGAACCCCGCCCACGTGACGTTTCTTTACAATGACGATAATGCGCTCGAACGCATCCCCATACGAGATCTAACTCCGGCGCAGAGGGAGGTGGCTTATCAATCTCTGATGCCATTACAAAAGCTTGCGATTTACTACTGCTTCTCGCGATCACTAGAGAAAATGATGAATGTGGAGCGACTCCGGACCTTACGGCTCGCAAACACCGGGGTTAATTCGCCCACGGGAGTGGAAATCGCGCATGAGGAAATCAGCACCACACACCATGATGAAAATGAGCTTACCGGTTTGACAAAGCGCGGTGGGGGGAGCGGTGCCGAAGCGAAATTATCAGGGAACCACAATGGCGAGAAGGAATTTGGGATGACTGTCGAGCAGCGAGATGCAAACCCAATCCCAAGGGCAATGTCTTCACTCAGGGTAGACGATGTCCACGAAGGCAATGAGGGGCTAGGGCTTGGGATTAAAACAACATTTTTCGACAAAAGTGCCACCCACACGGTTCAGAAAACCACTGAAAATGACAGCAGCTGTCATTCCGGGCCCTCTGTGGCTATCCCAACATCGGCTCTAACAGACATGCTTATTGCTCTGACCAACAGCATCTATGAAGCCAAATTGGGGGATCAATTACAGCAAATAGCAAACACTCTTGTGCAGCTTGTCGTGGAGGGTTTGAAGGTGAATGCATCTAAAATGGCGAGACCCCGCTCGCCTTCCCTGAATAAACGTGGCGACAATGCCGCCTCTTCACAAATTCGGAAAAAAGGGCGACCTAAAAAGAACAAAGTGTGATGCGATCCACCGAGGACGTTTTAATGATTGCTATTGTAGAAGCCAAGGTAAAGGAAGGGGACCATGGATCGGCTTTCTTTCCGGTTCCAAGGTAATGATTGCACCTTCTAATGGGGATGAAATATTATCCGAGTGGCGTAGTGGTACACCTCAAGACCGCTTGCATTGAACATAGAAACAATGAAACCTCAATGCGCGCTAAAAGTACATCAATGAAAGTTATTTTTCACGAAAAAGATAAAAATACTTAGTTTCTTCAACAAAAATGTGAAACCTGCGTGTGGAAAAGTAGAGATTCGAATATCTTTCTTTTTATTAAGAGGAAGGGAGGTAAGGAATTCTAAAGTGTTTGAATGAGGATTTTTTCACCTGTAATCACTCAGAGTCATGCCAATAGAACGGAATTGAAGAGTTCCATAACACCAACCTGGAGGAAGGCTCAGACTGTGTGTGGGGCCTCTGCCAAAAGCTATATCACCCCATCTACTTCATTTTTTAAAATATTTATTTCAGTGTGCTCTATTCAAATATGCACAGACCATACGCATTTTTATTCATCGGTACCGTTTTCCTTTGCATACCTATGCCCAAATCTCAGGTCGACGTTGAAAGATTGCAGAAAATTGCCAATTTTATCCGCCATAAAAATTACTTTTCCAGTGGTAAGACCAGTATTTTGTCGTTTTTTCCAAATTCGATAGATACATCAATTTTCATTGAAAGTGCTTTTCCCTCTACATGCCCTTAAACATCATATTTATACCCTGTGATGGAAATAAAACTGGTAGGTTTTTCCTTTTCAAAGGAACCTATTTACATTTAAGCTACCTATTAATATTTGTTAGTTTATCCGCTATTTTGGTGGTTTCATACAAGCCCAAATTGATTAGCGTAGATTATTTTTAACCGAAAAATAAGGCCGAACGGCACTATCACATATTTTTTCAAACTTCAGGATTAACTTTTAAGTTTAAATAAAAGCTTAATGAAGCTGAGTCGATCTATTTCAGCATCTATGGGAATTACAAAGAGCGCAGGTCATGGAAGATTGCCTTTTTTTCGCTTGCGTCAGCAGCCCTTTTCGTTTTCAGCGCCACATCTCTTTCCATTGGGAACCGCCCTCTTTTATTCGTGCCGCACAATCGCCGAGTATCCTACCCCTACACGTCGCATCATTAATAAGACGTCTAAGAAAGCTTATAACTACCTCACCGGAGAGCGCCTTATTCCGGTAAAACGGGTCAAATTTACCAAGAAGTTTCTTCGCACACACGACGACAAAAGCTTTGCGATTCGAAAGAACTACAAGCATAAACTTCTGCAGGATATTGATACTAAAATTCACTATTTAAAACCAGAGATCAAGGAGAATATCTTTTTCCCCCCTATTCGAAATCGAGTGGACGGTAAGCGCTTGTTTCGCGGGAACCGTTCTTTCACACCGTGCATCTTTATGCGAATATGTTATGATGTGATGAAAATGATAACCAGCGGCGCCCATCGCGAGGAGTTAATTAAACTAATGCAAGAGGCGGGGATATCGCCCCTTCCGAGTGATGACGTCTGGCGCCGCTATACCGACCCCAAAACCGGCGATATCAATATCGGTTTGCTTTACTCTAGATATTTGGAACGCTATTTTTTACGAATAGGTGAAAAGTTTGTTCACAAAAATTCGACTCAATTCAAAAGGATCTCCATTATTCAGGCTTATATACTTATACATTTTACTGATTCCTCGAAAATTCCGTCTCTGCTAGAGTGGTCGGAAAAGCTAGGAGCCCTTAATAAGGAGGAGTTGAGTAACAGGGCTCGTCCGGAAGATACCATATCCATCGCATTAAATGAAGAAAACTTTCATCTTAAGTCCTACGGAAGGAAACAAATAGAGAACGTAGTTTCGAATATGTCACTTGAAGAACAGAAGTGTGTGTTTAATTACGTCACGGAACATGGGAATGAACTCTTTAAGAAGATGTGTGACCATTTGTTGTTTGCTGCTCAAGTTATGCTGGCAGTTAACTCTATGCCGGATATAAAAGCTATCCAAAAGCCGTCTCTCGTGTATTTCTTCGAAAAACGGATGCGCCACATTATTAAACAAAACGGATCGTGGTTCCCTTGTACCCACAAGTTAATTACCGAATACTCGCAGCTTTCATCCGAAGAACAGAAAAAGTACTACTGTTTTAATATGCACATGGAGAAGCGCAGTTTAAGTGCTTCACATTTGTATATTCGCTATTGCAATCGTGATTACGGCATCGGGCGCAGCGAGGCCACTCGCCGTTATTTCAATCTTTCAGACCTCCAACACGCAGCGTTAAACTTCCCGTTTTACTACCCTATTACACCCAAAAGTGCCACTAGCATTGCATTTCGCAAGTTCTACATTGAGATGTGCATGCAGCTTGGGTTTCATAAAAAAATATACATTAACTCCCTGGGAAACCGTTACCTTGAGTCCTCCATGAGGATCAAATGGAAGCAGTTGGATCCCTCAGAACGGAAGAAGTATTATGAGCCGGATACCGTTGGACTCACTTTTCCACTGCAGCCGTTGCCCTCGGATGGGCTGAGCGGGGAGGATTTCATCAGCGCGGGGACGTCTCCGACAGATGTCAAGAGGGTTTCCGCGGATGGGTCCACCAATACGGCGGAGGCAGTCAAATCCACCCCATCCTCCGAGATACCTTATCAATCGGATCTAAACGACGGGTTTAAGGCTGATGGACCGCAGAACGCTTTGGATCCCCACTTGTCCGTGTATGTCGATCCTAGCATGACGGAAACTCAGAAGATCGCTACGACAGTTGGGGTAAGAATACCCGTGGCGGATCCCTATAGAAATAATGCAACCAAGATCATGCCAACTATGGTAATAATATAAGCGTGCCCCATGTTTTTCCACCTTTGTATACTTTATATGGCTCCTTTCCTTATTGTATTAGTAAGGCTTGCTAAGTTTCTACAATGAATTCTATTTATCCTTTTTGCTATTGTCTATCTGTGTTTGAATATAACTAAATCACAATAAACAAGACGCCCCGAATGACAATAATTTATATTATTTCACGAGTTTCGTTTCTAACGACGCAAGCTTATCCTTGTCGTTGTCCCTTTTACGCTACTTTTTCCTTTTTCTATCGCACTATCCTTGAAAGAATATATCTCAATAGTATCAGATCATTACTAATATTTTTCAACTAAAGGGTATCAAGGGGGATATATTTTCTCATTTATTAAACTCTTCTTATTCATATCACTTATTGTTGTTCAAAGGGTGATGTATACGTTTTACTTAGAAGACTTCTTGAGTTCGTAATGCGAATGCTTTTTGTAAATATTTGAGTCATTTTTATTTTCGCTGCTGCCTCTCTCATTTAAATTTGATATTCTTCTTTTTTTTAAGGTTTAAATGTCAACCTTTAAAGGAAAAACTACCAGTGACACCATTTCTCTCACTACTGAGGAAATTAGAAAAGCTATAAATTCGCAAAAGAAGTTTAATTGCACACTGAATTGTGCCTATCGCAGTGTTATAAGGCATTGGCCAAATGAACACGCATGGGAGGATGAGCTCAACGCAAAGATGAATCAGCCATGTGTAATGGCCTTTTGCATTCCTTTGGAGCAGAAAGCCTATATATCCGAAATCTTAACGAATTTTTATCCACCTCAGGGAAGCTTCCCTTTCTTTGCGTCCAAATACCACATAGTCGACAGCGGCGATCGGGAGCATCACACCTGGGAGCAAGTCAAGGAGATTTTCAACACGCGTCAGGTCCATTGGATTTTTGTCCCTTTCCCGCGGACGATTACCCGTTCCGCCGCGAACTACGAGTTCCTATACCAACACATCGTCGTGAAGGAAGGGATTCGCGAGATTGTCGGGTTTAGTGCCGCGCTGGATGATTTCTTGCCCTTGCTGGACTACTTCTCGGCTCGCAACGCGGGGGCCCGCGCCACGGATCTCGCGCTGGGCCTCCCGGCGGGGGGCCTCGACACCATGCGGGACTGGCCCCCTTCCCTGCGTGAGGTGATGGGGGATGGGGGCGTGCGGGACCCCTCCCCCCTTGCCCTTCCCGCTGGGCTGAACCTCTTCGGCAACGACCCCGCCACCGCGGTTCGGCTGCGGAAGAACAAGGCGAGCGTCCAAGAGGCCCTCCGGGCCCAGGGCCTGGCCCACATCCCGGGCCTCGAGGCCTGGTCCGCGCGGGAGGCGATGGCGTTGGGGGTCCTCTTTCCCGTCGTGGTGAAACCGGCCTGCGGGGCGGGCTCTGCCTTCGTCACGCTTTGCCACAACGAGCAGGAGCTGGAGGACGCCTTTGGGGTATGGGAGGCCCAGTGGGGCTCGGGCCCCCCCCCTCATGCCCTATGGTCGTCGAGGAGTTCATCGACGGCGAGGAGTACGTCTTGAACACCGTGAGCTTTGAGGGGCGACACGTCGTGACGGATATGTGGCAAAGCTGGAAGTACCCTAAGAAACTTCTGAGCACCCGGCTCGGCCCGTGTGTGGAGCGGGAGATCATCCAACGGGCTTCGGTCGATCCGAATATCACACAACCGGTGAAGCGGGAGACGTTTTCGCTCTTGTACGATCGGTTGGAGTTTGTGCATGACCTCGCGGAGCTGCCGCCGGACGGGGATGTCAGGCAGGTCGCGGACTATGCGCTGAAGTGTATCGATGTGCTGGGCATGCGTAATGGCTGTTCGCATTGTGAGCTACGCATTGACAGGCGAACATCTTCTCCACAGTTCGGCAAACCTGTTCTTATTGAACTTAATCCAAGAATGCAAGGTGACGTCCCTCGCTCAACGGAGCTAGTTGGCTATGATCAATTTACTTTGCTTGTGTACTTGTCCGCGGCTGCGGCCACCTTTAGCTCGATCAGAAACCAGTTAGATGACAACGAGAACAGCAACGCCAGCTCGTCGGAAATGATAAGCTCAAGCGAAGCGACGTCCTCACTACCGTGGCCCCCTACCCCACAACTCTATCGATCTCTTGTCTCTTCACCCAGCAACGCATTCAAGCGTATTACGCGACATGTTGTCTTTTTTTGTGCTGAAAAATATGGTATTCTATTTGACTTAGCTGCTGCCAAAGTGAAAAGCTTGCCGACTTATCTTCGCCATGCACGAGAGAACTTGTTCTCCTTTGTTAGTGTATGGAAAACGGTGTGTGTTTCTCAAACCGTGGATTTATTCTCTTCCCCGGGTGCCTGCGTGTTGCAAGGCACCGAGGATGAAATTAGGCGGGATACTGAAGTTATTCGCCGGATGGAACAAGCAACCATTCCATCAAGCATCCAATGCTTATCACGCCGACTCATTGAAAGTATCAAAGCGACCCAAGCCATGAATTTAGAACTATATCTGCATGAGAGGAACAGGTTTTCAAACAAGAATCAGCCACAGGATGGACTCAAACCCGCTTCTTTCAAATCCACTGAAGATGACTTTGTTACCCTTAATCCTGAGCCAGGATTGAATGCTCGGATGAGTAAGCAAGATAAACTGCCTTGTGTTTGCCATAAAAAATTGCACAAATTAAATACTGAAAATGAACGAATGTACACAGAGTGGAAAAATGCTTTGTTGGAACTGGAATATCCACCCTTATTTATGTCCGAAGAGGACTTTTCTCTTATCCAGGTGGTCAGGTCGAGCTGGAACTCGATGATTCCATATAGCCGAGAGCAGAATGTCGACATCTTCACAGATTGTTCAGCCTTAACAACATCCGAAAAGGAATCTTCCTTTAAAGAAGTTGCGAAACAACTAAACTATTTCTTCTGAAATAATTTAGAAACATCGATGGGCAAAATGTAAATAAGGTTTACTTCTGCAGTTCTTATCTTTTTTATTATTTGACTGCTAGCGGGATTATTTTTTATTTCTTAGATTACGCGCGGGTTTAGTGATTTAGCATTATTAATGTAATCCAAAACAACTTAGATTTATGTTTTACCAATAGGAAAAGGTATTGTGATTCTTAAGATACATGGGTAATTCACTTTATTTTTTAAAATTTCTATGCCACATTCTCCTTTCATTGATTATTTGTGTGGGTGTCACTCCAAGAGGTGAGATGTTCTTGCTGCAAGCTGTGTATTTAGAGAATGCTAGATTTTATTCATATTGGTATTATTGAAAATAATTCTAACTTACAAAGTACCTATCAGTGGGTTGCAGTAAGGCGAAGGAGCAAATTACCTGGAGGCATTGGTTTTGATGTTTTTTGAATAAAAACATCATTGTACGCTTTTTTTTTATCCACTCCACTTTGCAGTAATAGTCACGGTTTCTCATATGTCTGAATCATTATAAATGACCGATTGTAAACGAATAGCATCAGATATGCCGCGTAGTTTTTGTTCCGTATGCATCGTTTTGTGTGGACCTTCCGGCTCTGGAAAGACCACTATTGGGAAGAAGCTTGCGGAAATACTCTGTATAGCTTACGAGGAAGGTGACGAGTACCACAGTGATGCCAATATCTGTAAAATGAGTCAGGGAATCCCGTTGAGCGACGCGGATCGCATCCCATGGCTCACACGACTACGAGAAGAAGTAATATTAGCATATAAAAATAAAGGGCGCAACGTCGTCCTTGCATGCTCGGCATTGAAGAAAATCTACCGTGATATATTATGTGGTAGCAATCAACGGTTCAAGGCTGGGGGTGGCAATGTTCAACGCGGCCACACTGTTGTTTCTTCATTTTCATCAAAGTTTAATAACGTTTTTTTTGTCATGCTCACCGGAAGTATCGACCTAATTGCTCGTGCTCTCGTCATGAGAAAGAATCACTTTATGCCTCCTTCACTATTACGCTCGCAATTTTCAATATTGGAGCCTCTACAGCTACCGAATGACGGTGAATCATATGAAGCTACAGAAGTAGGCATGAACATCGATTTGGATAGGTTATCGGATACAAATGCAGTGGTGGATGTTATCAAAAAAAGAATATTGAAGGACTACCGCAGTTCATTTTTTAGTTTTGATTCTGCGGCAGCGAAGGGGAATCTATAGAGTTTTCATTACTAAAATATGGACAAACGATGTGAAATCACACAAACCGAAAGGTAGCAAAAGTTTAGAAATTAAAGATGAAATAAGCATCTATAATTGATGGGCTTCTAAAAAGTTGCGTCATCTCATTTTTTTTCTTTAACAGTTTAAAGTCTTGAAAAGAACAGAAAGATACACTGGCCTACAGCATACAATTTACGTTATACTACCATTTCCACTTTTATCAATCCTATATCCATCGATTTGGGATCAGCTTTAATTTTTATGTGCCTATTTATCAGCGACATTCCTTTTTATATTCTTAGTTTTCACTTTACACATGTCTAAGGAAGGACACTCCGTAGCAGCGTATCTTGATATTGCTGTCCGGTACGGTCGGGAAAGCATCCATGTGACGCTACCTCTCACCCCCGAAAGTTCCAACATCGGTGAGCTGAAGACGATCCTAGAGCAGCGTACTATGGTGCCCTACGTCAAGCAGCGGCTTCTTTTTAATGCCCCTGTTAAAAAGGAGTTCCGCCGCGAGGCCGACGACGCCACGGAGCTGCGCGCGTTACTGCCGGATTCGTTTTTGAAGCGCGTCGAGACCCACCCCGGTGGCGTCCCGCAGCACTTCAAAGTGACTGCGATGCTGTTGGGCGGGCGAGGGACGGCGGCGATGGTGGACAGCAAAACGAGCTCGGAGATCTCACGGCTGGTGTGCACGACCCTCGAGCACGACGGCCAGTGGTATCGTTGCTGCTACGGCAAGGGCTACCTGCGGCAGACGGCCTACATCTGCCGCACTTGCGTGAGGGCGGGCAGGGCGGACGCTGCGCACGCGCTCTGTTTGGCCTGCGCGGAGATCTGCCATGGTCATCACGAGGTGGAGGAGTGGGGCGTGCGGCATTACATGCGCTGCGACTGCTGTACAAAGAAGTGCTGGAAGCCCATCGCCGGCGACGACGCGTCTAGGGAAGCGATGCCATCACAACCCTCGGTGGTGGTGGTTAGCGCAGCGGATCTGCAGAAACGTACTCAACTTCATACGCGCTCACGCTCTAATAGCCCAACCTCACCTCACGCACAACTTCCGCCACTGAAAGTTGCGAAAAACGAGAAGGAGTTGGTAGGAAATGAGACGGCGTGGCAGCCGAACAACTCGATAGAAATCCCTCACTACCCTAACGGGACTACTCAAAGTAGTGAGGAAATCCGGACGAAACCGGAAACCGTAGAATCTTCGCCCCTTCCAGAAGCATCACGCTGCATTTTTGTGGTTGACAGTTCGACTAATAAGCCTCCTGTGAACGCGCTGCTTCCTGTGAACCGGAAGAATCGCTACCCACGCAGCCCGAACACGTGGTGTTACTGTGAGAGGGACTATCCAGATGATTCGGACTACGGCGGGGTTGTCTGTATGCTTTGCACCACGTGCTTTTGGAGTGCGCACATTACGAGACTCTTCGTAGACCAATATCGCTACATGCCGTGCTACGGCGACGTTTTGGAAGGCAACGTGCTCGCATTTAAATGCAATACTTGTAATATTTATGTGTGCACCCCTTGCCGACTGCGCTGCCATAAGGATCACGCCATCGAGCCGGAATTCGTCATTCCTGATCATGATGACGGAACCACTAACGGCGTGCCCCCGGGAGTGAGGTTTAGCTGCGGCTGCGCAGGTCTATGTAGTATTGCGGAACGGGTTCCTGTCGAAGAGGTGGACAACTCTGACCTCTACATGACGATGCCCGATGATATTAGACTGGAGATGATGAACAGCGACGTCTTCATGGGGATGATTTGTGCGCACTGTATGCAAGAGCACCCGTGGTTGATGCATAACAACCCCAGACACTGCTACCAAGGTCGGCTGCCCTCCAAAGTGACGGATGGCATCAAACCCGTCATCGCCTGTGGTGAGCGGCGGCCAATTGAAGAGCTCCCACCGGATGTCTTTCCCTATCACGGCATGCTGCTTCCCGTAAACTCCTTTACAGCGGAGGCGACGTGTTCCTGTGCGGCGTGCCAGAAGGCCTTTGAGGAATTCGCGCCCCGCGCTGAGGATGCGACGGAGATGATTATTGCACTGCACGACCACTGCGATAACTGCGGCGTCGCCTTGGAGAATGGAAAAGCGTTTCTTTGTCGAACATGCGAGATGACGATGGAGGAGACGTTCTTTATTTGCAAAAATTGCAACGCCTTGCGAGAGGCACAGATGCTGGAGGAAGTACCAGAGCCGCAACCGCCTCAAGAGAGTAGGGAAAGGGATGCGTATGCCGTTAGTGCCTCAACGCATGTTAGTGAAGGATCTGTAGGGACGGTAGGGTCGTCTTCACGATTTCAACGCCCACACGTCGCGGTGTCTGCATCCCTCTTTTCACCGAATTCACCCAGACAAGAAGGAGAACCTGACGATACAAGAGTCTCTACATACAATCACGATCTTTCTCATGATTTTGTTGAGGACACCTTTGAGAACCTCATTACGCTTTGCCAAATGCAGGTTTTACAAACTATAGATGTGCCTACTCGTCAGTACGTAGAGGAAAACTTTGAAGATGTGTCCGAAGGGTTCTCTCTGACGAACACTCTTGCCGCTTCCTTCGGACAGACACCTTTGAATTTTGATGAGGAGGACATGCAGGCGTTACAAAAGGACAACCTTTCTATTCCTTTTCATAAGAACCTAGAAAAGTAAAGGATGCCTATAAAATTTGTCACTATTTGTATTGTAGGACGGCGAATCTGATGACGAAAAAGCATATAAAGACTGGTGTCATTTTAGGCCCAATTCAACCCCTTTACTTCTATTTTATTTTTCAGACTTTCAATTCACCAAATATTGGGGTTATATATTTAAATTTGCGTAAATTTATAGGAACTTTTAAAGGAAAAGTAAATGTCCTAACATGGTATTTAAAGAGGCGAAAATTCTTTTTTTCCATACATGGTGCTTAAACCTTAATAAATGCAGATTTTGGGTTTCCCCTTTAATACTTTTTACTTATTCTTCTTTTGTTGTCTTTGGTTTAGTTCTTTCCTTGGAAAGGGTAACTTCCCAGGTGCTCAATTACACACGTACATTAGTTATCACTATTTCATTATTTTGCGTTTGATCAACAACTATTCCTAGTCTTTTCCCGAAACATTGAACTCAGCTCCACTTCTTTTTCTCTACGTGGCATCTAAAACTTCGACAACAGGAAAAACGCAATTCAAAATTACAACTACAGAGTGTGAGTTACCTTACTTTTCTATATTCCTCAGCCTTTTCCTTCTCAGGCTTTTTTTCTTACATTCTCAATGTCCGAATACGCCGGGACGCCTAGACTGGAGCTTGACTGTGCGCTCGGCTTTAGTGGGCGAGTACCGAATGGCCTCATTGCCCACCCCGATGGTGTCCACATCATCCACCCCCTTGGCGCGTGCATTGTGATTCGCGAGATCGGCAAGGCCTTTTCTTCCGACTTCCTCTACGGCCACAACGACAAAATAAGCTGCCTTGCCGTGAGCCCTAGCGGGCGCTACGTGGCCTCGGGCCAGGTCACCCACCCGGGCTTTCAGGCGGATGTCTGCATCTTCGACTTCGCCGAGCGCCGTCTGGTGCACCGCATGCTCCTGCACAAGGTCAAGGTCCAGGCCCTGTCCTTTTCCTCGGATGAGCGCACCTTGGCCTCGGTGGGGGGCCCGGAGGACAACACCGTGGTGCTGTGGGATGTCGAGACCGGCCGGCCCTTCTGCGGGGCCCCGGCCCACCACACCGAGACGAAATGCGTCGCCTTTCTCAACCGGGACTCGCTGAAGATCATGACGGGGGGGGTGGGCTCACTGCGGGTATGGTCAGTGGATATGGAGAGCCGGAAGATGAATCCGGTGGATATCAACATAGGCAACCTGCGCCGCTCTGTCACCACGCTCGCGATCGAGCAGACGGACAAGTACGCCTACTGCGGTACCACCACCGGGGATGTCCTGTGCGTGCAGCTTGGCAGTGCCGGTGTTCTCAAGATGAAAGGCCCCCTCAACAAGTCCTCCGGCGGCATCCTCTCCATCATCTTCAATCGCGACGGACACCTACTGGTCGGCAGTGGCTCGGGTGAGGTGCGGCTGCTCTCGAAGATAAACCTTACGGTATTGCACGAGGCATCCGTCAAAGGTGGCGTGACCGGCCTCGCGTTAGTCGGGCCGCATTTCTTTGTGGGCACAGATGCGAGTAATATGTACTTCATCAACGGGGGGAACTTCCGCACCGAGCTCCGAATGACGTGCCATAACGGCTACATCAACGACTTGGTCTTTCCCGCGGGGCTAAGCATGGTCTTCGCGACCTGCGGCGGGTCTGATATTCGGCTGTGGAATGCCAAGTCGTGTACGGAGCTCCTCCGAATCGAGATTCCAGGCCTCACTTGCAATTGTATCCACTTCACCGAGGATGGCTCGATGATCACTTCGGGCTGGAGCGATGGGCGGCTTCGAAGCTTTGGCCCGCAGACCGGCAAGCTCATCTTCACCATGCACGACGCGCATAAGTCGGAATCCCTAGGCCAGCGTGTGAAGATCGGTGGCCATGTCGGCGTCACCGCCGTTTGCAATGACCACAGCTCAACCAGCGTTATAACCGGGGGCTCGGACGGGCAGGTTCGGATTTGGCGTATCACCGGGAAGTCGTGCTTTTTAAAGGCGTCGATGAAAGAACACAAAGGAACGGTCAACGCGCTGACCATCACACGGGATGATACCGAGTGCGTCTCCGCCAGCGACGACGGGAGCTGCATCGTTTGGGACCTTACGCGGTTTGTGCGGCGCAATATTATTTATCTACAAACCTACTTCCGCGCGGTCGCCTACTACCCGGACGAGAGCCAGATCATCACCTGCGGTAATGATAAAAGCATCACGTACTGGGATGCGATCGACTGCAATGCGATCCGGGAGCTTTCCGGGAGCAAAACGGGCGAACTTAACACACTTTCCATGGCACCTAATGGGGAATTTTTCGCCACAGGAGGAAACGATCGAATCCTCAAGGTGTGGAACTACGAGCGTGGCGACTGTATTGCGGTGGGGGTTGCACACAGCTGCAGTATCACAAAGGTGATGGTTACCCCGGATGGAAAGAAAATTGTCTCGATAGGAGACGAAGGGGCCGTTTTAATATGGAACGTTGATAATTTGGTCATTGAAAAGCTCTAAAGAAGCAAACAGATGAGAAAGATGATTAAAGAACGCATGCTTTAGGTGTAGTGTGACTGTTTTAGTAATTTTGGAAGGGTTAGACTGCATACAATATCACGATGAAATGACATATTATATACATATATGAATACTTACATATGTATATATTTATATATATACATTAGAGGACCATTGCCATCGTAATGGGAGAATATACTTAGAAAGAGGTGATTGGATGTATTTAACAAATGATGCAGAAATAAAAATCCAAGCGCGTGTAGGACGAATTTTCGAGAAGTAAATATCCTACAAGTCCGAGGAAAGGCAACAAAAAAAAATGGCCAAAGAGAAATAGAGAACGAAGAATTTTATGTTCATACTCTATATGTAAACACGATTCGGCAACTGAGCAGAGTGTGCTTTTGCTCTTTTTAGTATTTTCGGCACTGAATATTCCAGACCACAAGTCCCATATTTCTTCATTTTTTTATTTTCCTTTCAGTTCTTTTTTTTTGCTTTGTTGAAGTATCGCTCAATAGTAGGACTTTACATAATATGCTGCGTTAGCTTTGAGGAACGTAATGTTAAATCACTGAAAGAGGATAAAAACTATTTGAAGAAAGAATCACCCTTCAAAAAACATAAAAAAATAGGGTTTTACCATTTAGCCAAATAGGCAACGCATTTTTACTGATGCAGGCTAGCTCGCGCACAACGATCCCTTGATTCTGAAAGTGAGTCCATCGATAGTATAATTATCAGGTGCTCTGAAATATTTTTACAGTCGATCTGGATTTGGTGTGGTAAATCCAATGAAGCGTATATTTAGCTTGAATTTTTCATTAGAACGTATCTTAATATTCTTATTCAAGTGTCGGAATATTGATTCGATCGAAAGCTTATGCATTATTGCAATTTTACAAGGAACAGATTTTGGATACTTCGACTACCCCTAATAGTGTTTTGCGCACTTTATTACTACTTTCAGTATCTTCTCTTTGTAGATCTGAAACTTTATTCATTCCTCTGGGTGATTTGTTGCCTACACCCAACTGGATAGTGATCGCCCGAAAATCTCAATTTCCAGTGTCTTCTACGCCATTTCAATATTTTTTTCACGTTTCTCTTTCTCCTACGATGAGCTTGCTCGTGAAAAAGAGTCCTATTATTGATTTTTACCCTTTCGATGGATATTCTATCCAAATAATCATAAATCTTCCTGCTCTTGTGCCTAGGCGTAACTTTAGCTTAAGACGTGCAATTAGAAATAGTTTAGGTAGAAAGACGATTGTTTACCTAAATCATTTCAAGTATGTATTAGTCTTTCTATTCGTATCTTGTGGCATTATAATTTATGTAATTAATCATATATTTTTATTTAAGACTCGACAGACCTCATTGGCTCAATATTTCTTTGAGTAGCATGCCTTATCATTGCCATTAATCAGAAGTGTATTTACTTATAATCAGAAAAATACTAAAAAAATTGACGCTGTTGTATGTATAGTTTAATTCATATACATAATAATTCTGATTCATTTATGGTTAAGTTTCACAAACCTATTGCACATGGTGAAAGTCGTACGTACGTACATAACTTATAAACAAAATTAATTCATTCTCAGGTTAATTTACCTTTCCATTTTTTTATTTTTAAGTTAAAGACAAAGTGCACAGATCTATTGTTCCTTAAAAAAAAAATAACAAATATATGCATTTCATGTTATTTAAGAGTTGATTAGAACTTCACAGCTCACCAATTCAAGCTGTTTTTTGATCCAAAGAAAGAAGAGTTCTACTGTGTTATATGGATTAATTCAACTAATTAAGTTTTTTTTTGAAAAAATGACAATTGGTATTTTTTATTTTATGCACAAGCATACGTTTGTATATCGATTTGGGACATAATTTTTTTGCACAAAAATCGATAAAGTCTAGTTTCCTTTCTTTTATTATTTGGGCTACGAGCTGTTCCTGTTCCCAATAGTGGTTATTTTTTCTTTAAAATTTTGTCATGTAAACGAAATCCTGTTTTTACTTTACATGTTACCTTTTATTTTTTTACACTTACCTCATGCATGAGAATATAAAACCAGATTTGAAATTCGAACATCAATGCGCAGATACAGGAAACCTCATTTAGGGAATGAAGAGACCCAAACGAGGAATTTGTCTGTAATGTGAGCAGACATTATCTTGAGTTATGGAAAGGAGTCGCTGTACTAACAATTCCAAACGTGACGCCAATCCTGCTCCTATTACATTCCTAATCCAACTCTTTAGATATCCCAATGATTCTTTCTTTTTGTGTGTACCATACTCTTAATGTTGGTTCTAACCTGGTGCTGTTCCCATTATCACACTAGGATTCAATGGGTAGGGTTTTATCACCGCATCCTGTAGGCGGACGTCAAAGGTCCCCACCCCTGATTGTGTCTTTGGCCGTAAAATCATTCCCATTGGGCCTTCTTTCCTCCCTGTTCTTCCCCTCAAGGTGTTCTTTCAATCCCAGGTTGACCTCGGTTAATTGTCACACACACACACACCCCTGCACTGAGTGTTCGCACGGTGTTTTTGAGTTTTTTTCTTAACGATTTCCCGCACGTGTGGGTCAGGCCGCACGGCCCTATTTCGCTCTTACATCGTAAAAAGAAGGCTCTCATGTTCCGCCTCTGCTGGGGGCCTCTCCGCGAGCCGATTCGCTACGCCTCGCTGTTCCCGCACAACCGCGTCCTACGCTCCGTCTTCGACGCGGCGCCGGAGCGCGTGGCGTTGACGGTGGAGCCCCCTGGGGGGGGGCGGCGGTGGATTTCACCTACGGGCGGCTTCGCCAGGACGTCCTTCGCGTCGCGGACGGCCTCGTCGCGCGGCGGACGGCCCTCGCCGAGGCACGAGGGGAGCCGCCGGGGGGTTGGCAACAGCCCCGGCGGCCGGACCACGTCCGCGGCGTTTTCACCCAGGGCCCGCGCACGCCGAGTTGTGAGTATTTAAACGACGACGGCGTCTACTCGATCGTGTTGATTGCCAGCCCAAGCTACGCCTACGTCGTCGCGCTGCTTGCGAGTTGGGCGATTAATCAGCTGGCGACACCGCTGTCGGGGCTGTTGACCGGGCGGGAGCTGATGGACGCGCTGAACCACAGCGGTGCGCGTATGGTCCTCGGCGAGATCGCCTTGCTGCGTGAAAAGCTCCCGGCCGAGCAAGAGTCGCTGTATGTGCGCACTGCAAAGGAGGTGGGGCATGTGAGCACCGTGGCGTTAAACGCGGCGCATGGCATCGGCCGTGTAGATACCATCCTGGATACGCAGAGCTTACTCTGCGAGGAGTCCCTGGAGGGCGAGGATGGCGGGTTTGCCGTGAGAGGCGCCCGCATCCGGCAGCCTTTAACCCCGGAGCTTCTTGAGCCCGTCCGCGAGACCGAGCCGGCGATGCGGACGGCTGAGGACGTTGTAGATCGGCTTGAGCGCGCGAAGGAGGCCGCGGGCGAGGCGGAGCGGGTCCGCCTTGCGGACCTCCTTCGTGCGCAACGCCTGGAAGTGGAGGAGGCGGGCGGTCCGCTCTGCTTTGATTCGGAGCGGCTGTCGGCGCTGAATCCCGTCTTCCGGCGGTGGTGGACCGACCCCACCTCGCGCCCGACCGCGGGAGAGGATTGCCTGATGCTCTACACCTCCGGCACGACGGCGCGCCCGAAAGGGGTGGTCCACACCCACGCCAGCGTCTCGCACATGGTGGGGCTGCTCCTGTCGGCGTGGGAATGGCGCCGTGAGGACGCCATCCTGCACGTCCTCCCCCTCTCGCATATCCACGGCCTGGTGAATCTCCTGCTCTGCGCCCTTGCGAGCGGGGCGCGGTGCGTGTTGGGGCGCCCGGGCAGCCCCGCGGCCCTCGCGCGCCGGCTGGGGGTGGGGGACGTCAGCCTTTTCATGGCCGTCCCCGCCCTCTACACGCGGCTGG